TCAATACTCTTCTCCAGCACCACAGCTCAAAGGCATCAATTATCCTTCTATGCTCCCTAGTTATTGTCCAACTCTCTGATGCATAACAAGTGATTGTAAAGACTATGGCCTGTATCAGGCGCACCTTAGTCTCCAGAGAGACACCATCGCTCTTCAGTACTTTGGAGAGGTCCCTAATAGCAGACTTTCCCATCACAATACGTCTTTTAATTTCCTGGCTGCTAGTGCCAAGAGTGTTGACTGTGGAGCCAGGCAGACTAAAACTGTGAACAATCTCAATCTTCACCATCCATCCTGCTGCTGCCAATTGGTCTGGTGGTGAGAATAGGGTGAAAACCCTATTCTTAATTAGGTTTTTAAATTCAGGTGGGATAAACTCAAAGTTGTGTTTTGGTGCTTGTAAATGTCTTTTGATTTTCTTCCACTTAAGTTTGAACCTGCACATGAATAATTGATGGTCTTTTCTACAGTCGCTCCTGGTCGGGTTTTGACCTTTGACACTGAGTTTCTCCATTGATTCTTTCCACAAATGGAACCAATCTGATTCCTATTCAGTCTATCAGGATTGGTGAAGACACATCAACAACCTGTGTTATGCAGATGACACAACCTTGCTTGCTGAAGGTAAGGAGGACTTGAAGCACTTGCTGCTGAAGACCAAAGACGATATTATAGCCTTCGATATGAATTACATCTCAATATCAAGAAAACAAAAGCCATCACCTGTGGACCAATAGGCAACATCATGACAGATGGAGAAAAGATTGAAATTTTCAACAATTTCATCTTACTTGGATCCACAATCAACACTCTTGGTACCAGCAGGCAAGAAATCAGAAGATATATCGCACTGGAAAAATCCCCTGTCCAGGACCTCTCCAAAATTCTAAGGAGCAATGAGGTCAGTTTAAGCAAAGACTAAGTTGCACAAGAGTCCATCCACAGTTGAAATTTTTTATTTTAAAATAATCATGGAACTATTATGCCTTATTAGATGATGTACACAGTGAAGATGGTGTTGAGGACAGTAAGTATTTCCATCCATTTTTTGCAGACCTTCTCCTTTTAATAATTTCCCACAATTTTGCCAAGGACTCAGAATTCTAAATTTAGAATAGACGCTCTAAGTAAAACAAACAAACAAAAAAATAGATCCATATTTGGAATGTAATGAAAGTTTAAGTGTAGAGCTATATTCATAAATATATGTGTTCATCTTTATTAGTCAACAGTAAGTCCACTAGGTGATCAATAGTGTTATCAAAAAGACCATTTCCAGAGCCCATTATTTAGAGTAAACAAAAATTGATGGAATTATTTTTAAATATATATGAACAAAATACAATCCATGCTTTTCAGGGTGGTTGCACATTTTGATTGCTATAATCTCTGTTTCCTAGAGTTGCATCTTCATTATTGTTGTTGTTGTATTAGCAATTCTTAAAGGATGTCAAAATGACCACAATGACACACTCTATAAAGCATGCACTGCTCCAAGGGTGGTCATGGAGCATTCGGTAAGGGTGCTTAGTAACAGGGAGGGACCCCGGTTAGGGAGGCGTCCCCACTAATCAGGGAGCTGACTGCAGACCAGGAGTGGCACCATCCACAGGATTCAGGAGAACATTCTGAGAGCTTCCAGTTCCAGATACAAAGTAGTGTGGGGAGGCCTGAGGTAGGGCTGAACTGTGAAGATGGTGTGGTGAACACTGCTGTGCACTTGGGGGATTGGTACTGGGGAATACATCGCTCTCCTGACCTTGAAAGTAGAGGAGCCTGGGTAGCAAGGGGGACATTCCACCTTTTCCTGCTATTGTGGTTACAGCTACTGCTGCCACCACTGCCCTGAGCTCCCATAGCACACAGAGAATTTATAAAAATGGCCAAGCTGTAATGTTTATGCTTCTATATTCTGATGACCTTTGTTCAAAGTTTCCATATAGTCTATATTCTTATTCATATAGTCTATATTCCATATGTTATGTGCCGTCGAGTTGTTTGTGACTCATAGCGACCCTATGCACAACAGCCCTAAACCCTGCTCTATCCTGCGCCAACCGCACTGCCACTGACACCCATCCCGATTACTCCAGTTACCGAATCAATCCATCTCATAGAGGGT